TTCTATGGTCATGTGTTCCCGGAACCATGAGCGGTCCGCGTAACGCATCACGCATTTAGCCCCCGGTCATTGACCGGGGGCTAAGTGGGGCCGGGGGGTGAGCGATTCGTGAACCACTTCGGTGGGGCGGGGGCGCATCTCGTTGTTGCGCTTTGCGGCGGATTCGGTGAGTTTCGTGAGGAAGGAGGGCGACCACTCGCTGAAGCTTTCGTAACCGTACGCCGAGTCCGCGCCAATACCGCCCATCTCGGGGAGCAAGCGGTTCATCACGGCAAGCGACTCGCGCGTCAGGCCGGGGAAGAGCGACTGGAGCGTGACGCCGAGGTTGAGCGGGCCGCGGAGGACGACCTCGCCGTCGCCGTGGATGCAGGCGTCGATGGTTTGACGGGCGGCGGTTCGGGCGTCCATCGTGGCGATCGGTAGCGAGTCGCCGATGCTGAACCAGGCGTACTCCTTGCGGTGCTGGCCTTTGAAGGTCGCGTTGCGCGGGCTGCCGGTCCGCATCAGGCTGGGGCAGATCGTGCTGACGAGGATGCCGTCCTTGGCGAGTTCGGCGCGCAAGCCGTTCGAGAGGCCGACGGCGGCGAACTTGCTGGCGGCGTAGGGCAGCATGTGCGGCACGGCGCGCTTGCCGCCCATCGAGGCGATATTGACGATCCGCCCAAAGCGTCGTTTGCGCATGCCGGGCAGCACGGCGCGCGTCGTGTGCAGGATGCCCCAACAATTGACATCCATCGACTTGCGGAAGTCTTCCTCGGTCATCGCGTCGAGCGGCCCGACCTCGATGATCCCCGCGACGTTGAACAAGAGGTCGATCGGACCCAGCGCCGCCTCGGCTTGGCGGACGGCCGCTTCGACTTGCGCCCGATCGCTGACGTCGCAGATGAAGGTCTCCACGACGCCGCCCCGTTGCCGCAGTTCGGACTCGGCGCTGAGCAAGTCGGCGTCGGTGCGGGCGAGCAGAGCGACCCGGACGCCCGCATCGACGAGCTCCCGCGCAAGCACGAGGCCCAGGCCACGCGACCCACCGG